AATGCCCTGCTCAGGAGTCTGTCCCAGGCAGCACATCCCCTTGGCTGCTGGAACACTGGTATGAGGCTGCTCTTTCACCCCTGCCAGGAAAAGTGGGATCCAGACCACAGTGAACCACTGCACAGCTATTTTCTGCTTCTCAGGCCCTGCCAGCAGTGAGGATCAGAGTCAGATTAAAAGCAGCCCTGCCTGCCAGGCTCGGGAGACACAGAGGGAGGGTGGCTGAGCCTCCACCCCCAGAGCAGACCAGGTCCCCATGCTCAGCCTGCACTCCTGAGGGATGCCCTTTTACTCATGAAGAAGGACCAGATAAGCTGCTGCCAGTGAGTATCTCAGGCACTGCCAAAATAAAAATCACCTTTACAACAGGCATTGTCTAAGTCATTGATAATTTTTCCAGAGGTAATTCTGGGCTAGTGACTTTCAACCACCTGAAGCAGATTGCTTGTCGGGGCAGGAACAGCCCAGTCCTCAGTGGGTGCCCCATGCACAAACCTCTCACACACAATGCAGATGTGACACGTGAGAGTATGAAATGTGTCTGGTCCTGCTCTGGGCAGCACAAGGGCTGCAAGTTGCTGAAGCACTGGGGACTTAAAAGAGCATGTGGCCAGGCCTGGGGATGCAATGAGGGTGGATTCTAAGGCACAAGAAGTGTCCAAAGCAGTTCAGAGCTCTCTCTCCTTTGTTTTTATAGACAACACCAGCTTGCTGTGCTCCCAGCCCCTTGATGTCCGAGGGACTTGGCACTACTGTCACAGAAATACTCAGCATTAGTAGTCATTACACAGTTCTGTCCCCCCTCCAGCTTTTTCTAGCCCTGTTTTCCCCTCCCATGAGTTCATTCTCTATTGCTGGGCACTTGCAGGCTCTGCCTGTGCCAGTGACACAGCCTGTTACCCAGACAGGCCCTGGGCACATGCAGACAGCTGCCCTGAGCAGTGATGCAGGGAGAGGGGCTGGCACTGCCTGGTGTCAGCCAGGGCTGTTCCTCTGCTCCCTGGCAGGCTCTTCCCCACACAGGCTGCTGGGTTTGCTGAGCAGGGCTGCTGGAAGCTGTGCCTGCTTTCATCCCTGCAGACACAGCCTGAGGAGGGAATGCACAGTGGCAGCCAAACGCTCTCCGGCTCTGCCAATGTTTTTGGTGCCTTTCTGTTTCTCTGGTGGAGCTCAAAGCAGCAGCTCCAGTATGTGTGAAAGGGCTGATGGGAACAGGCTCACAGCCTTCTTTTTTTTTTGCCTTCCCCACAAAGCAACAAAGCCCAAGTTATCCCAGAAATCAAAACAGACACTGGTTCACTAAAACAACAGTGTCTGTGGCAAACCCAGAGACACACAGTCTGCAGCTTCCCAAGCAGGGACAGACTCCTGAGACCACCTGGGCTCTGCAGGACCCTGAGAACATGGTCCTGCTGGGACCAGGACTGAATCCCAGCTGCCTGCACAAATCCAACTCTCCCAGGGTGCTGTGGGTCAGACTGGGATGTGCCATTTCTCCAGCCACACACTGAGCAGCAGTTTCAGAGCAAGACTCAGGCTCTGCAAGGTCTCAGTACAGCTCATCCAGGATTCAGCTCAGAGAGCAGCTGTGCCCTGTGGCCCTTCCAAAACAGAGTCCTTCTCCTCCTGTCCCTTCTGGACAGGGACAAGCTTTGCTCTGCACTTGGGCAGATGACAAGGGATGCTGTGAGCCTGGCTGGAGTAGGGGGCTAGGGCCAGCTCCTGAGAGATGATGTCCTGAGACAGCCACCAGAAGGGTGAATTGTTAGCACATCACTAGAGAGATTCAGACCTGCACAGAACTGGGGCTGACTGCCAAATCAAAGCTGTGGGACACAGGTTCTGCTCAAGAATGACATTAACATGGTACCTTTCAGTTTGAGTCCCAGTTCTCTTAGAACTACCTGAGATTAGGTACCAGGATCAGTCCAGGAATGACCAGCCACAGCCTGAAGGCTCTCAGCAAGGGTAGAGAGGTGAAATGTTCCTGACTGACATGCTGAGGGGTGAGCCCAAGAGCTGTACTGCAGTTCCTTAATGATGTGAGGTCTCTCCTGAGACCTTAGCATTCTCAAAAGCACAGGAATGTCCACTTCCATCTAGGTAGCTTTAAAACCAAAAGGATTCCCAGCAGTGTCCCTGAGGCTGCAGGTCAGAAGCAGCAGCACCAGAGCTCAGCTGAGACCAGACCTGCAATCCTACTCTCACCTCCACCGGGGCATCACCTGCCCTCCCAAGATCTGCTCTTCCCCAGGTGATGCCAGCCCGTGCCACACGTTATTCTGACATCCTGCTCGAGATGAGCAGCAGGAACAGCACCGAGAGCTCCCACCCTGGGGGTTCTCCTTTTGTTCAGCAGCGTTGGAAGTCCCTCCTCCGTCCTCTTTTGCATCACTGCTGGCACCAGGCGCCGGGGGGAGAGAGGGACAGCCGCTGTGCAAACCAGAAAACAGAGCTTTAGCCCTGGGGGCACAGTTGCGACCTTGCCCTCTGCTCCCCGGTGCAGGGGGTGAGCCAGACCCCGCGGGCACGGGGAGCTCGGGCCGAGCGCCCCGGTAAATGGCACGAGGGGCAGGCACAGCGCTCCGCAACCGCGGGGAGAAACCCGACACTGCCAGACACTCCCTGGGAATAGCCAGGGGCCGAGCAGGAACCAGGAAATCCAAGCTCTGCCCGGCCAGAAAACACTGCAGCTCGATGGAGGAGGGAGCGACATGGGCAATCTGTGCAGCTGCGGGAGACCCTGGTGAGTGCAGGTGTGGGCACGGCACGGGAGGGGTGGGCACGGAGACTCGCAACTTTGGGGGCACTTTGGAAGCTTTGAGTCCTGCTGCGGGACCTGCCAGGGCTTCCCCCGGCTCTGAGTCCGCAGTTCGTACGGAGAGGAGCTGGGAGAGGAGAGGAGTTGGGAGAGGAGCTGGGAGAGGAGAGGAGCTGGGCGCGGAGCAGAGTTGGGCACGAAACGGAGCTGGGCACGGA